CCCTCAGTAATCAAATCCTCTTTATTCAACAATGCCAGTGTCTTTATCTCGGTTTCTCCAGCTCACACTCTTTACTCCTTTATAAAAGATCTCTCAAAACATTTTGCATTCCTTTTCCTCCTTCTTAATCCTCTTCTTTCGTTCCCCCTCACTCGCCGTCACTGCCCCATACACTCATGCACTCACACTCTAATAACATCCCTAATAATTTTCCCCTCTAATATTGCCAAATCTGAAAAGACCACCTACCCCCAAAAGCCCTGACTCTTTCTCCCCCAGAACCAGTGCCCTGAGACGGGGGTCAGAATGAGGGACAGCTGGCAGACCTCCCAGCAGCCTGGAGGAGCGGCTGCGGGGTTGGAGGACTGGGCTGACCCCAGTCAGATGGTGGTCTGGCTCCCAGGTAAAAAACATCTGGTCCAGTGATAGGAGGGTGGTCGCACACACACACAAGCGCGCACACACACACGTGCACATTCAAAACTGACACACGCCTGACTGCATGAGTGCTACTGCCTTCTCTAATGAACACACACTCTCAGACTTGCTACTTTATTAGTCATTAGGACAAAAAGCCTTGCCCTCGATCAGTCTCCTCAGCAGATGATGGCGAGTGGCCGCCCTAGTTGCTGACAGCTGGCCAGACAGAGCTTCGCTGGTAGCTGCAGTTCACAGACGTTACAGACGGACTGAGGTCCAATTACTTCTTTACTGGTGGATTTACTGTGTGAGTGTGTGTGTGTGCGTGTGAGAGAGAGAGAAAGTGAGAGAAAGGGGAAAGCAAGAGAGTGATTTATACTTTGGAACGATAAGAAAGACGGGTAAATGAGATGAGATATTATCAAATATAAACTGGCATGACAAAAATGGAAAATACTGGGGAAAAAAAATGTATCCAGGAAAAGGTTCAATGAAGAAAGGTGATGCTGAAGAAAAATTCTGACTCCTAAAGAAGAAAATACTCCCAGAGCCACAGAGAATTATTAAATTCTCTTTTCAGTGGAAAGTAACCAAACCGTTATTAAGCACAAAAACCATGAAATATGGTCGCTGCGGGCTACGCTGCGATGTGTGTGGCTTCACCATTTTCAAGATGTGATAAGGAAAGTGGAGATAGCCAGAGAGACAGCTGTTGTGTGCTGACAGCCCGGGGTTCAATACACACACACACACACACACACACACACACACACACACACACAGACCTACACACACACATCACCACGAGGCCTCCGCGGGTGCTCTCTGGGGCTTAAGGGAATTAAAAAAGGGGGGAGGGACGGACGGGAGAGGAGAAAACATTTAGGGGGGAAGAGCGATAACTTTTGAGCCTTGAGAGGCAAAAGATTCATCAGTGGTGTCACCGGCATCGCTTTTCAATTCTCATCTTTAGCTTCACCAAACAATTATATGCAGATTCACACACACACACACACACACACACACACACACACACACACACACACACACACACACACACACACACACACACAAGGTCTCACAGTGCAACAGACACACTACTTCTAATATCAATGGGTTATTCCACTGATCTAAGCCTCCATCACAAAAATGCATACAGCCTAAAACTGAACTGTAGAAGACGCAAAGCAAATAGTCCCTGAAGAAAAGTCACACTGAGAGAAGATGAGGATTAGAGGAGAGGCAGTGAAACTGTTCTTTATGTTAATTCTAAATCAGTGACTTTAACCCTTCACACTGACAGAATAAAATATCTTTATCCTAGTTTCTTTATATAACTTTTACAGAAAACTGGTAAAGTTTTGGTTCAGTCAGAGTTGCTGTTTTGGGGCAGAAAGCTGCAACATTTCCAGAGACGCTCATGAATGCAGCCTCAGAGGCAGTACAGCTGAAACCTTAAACTGACCTAAGAAACTGACATGTGTGATTTTATCAGGCTTTAGTTTAACTTACATTTTACTCTGAACCTCTGGAGCTGTACTTCTTTGCAGTACAATGCGGATTCATCATTACCTGCAGATTTGATTTTAGACTTTATCCTTTATTTTAGACTATTACCTCTCGAGGAGGCACAGGCCTACCACATGGACATAGTTACATATAAAAACCCCAAAGAATTAAAAATGAAGTAAGTGGATGATGATACTAATTTCCCATTAATGAGCAAACAAATACAACAAAAAAATGGGAAAATTATAAGTGAATAAATATAAAATCAAATATACTAATAAACAAACAAATACACTTTGGTCAATATACAGCAGTTACTTTAAAGTTAAAGTAGCCATTATTATTTCAACAAACTTAGCAAAAGTCTTTAATGGTCGTTCAACACATCTTGGATTAATACTGTCGCATTATTTAATTAATCTGTTTCTCATTGTCAAAACAAGGACAAACTAATGTATACTTTTCACCTTGCTCTTCTGTCAAACCCAAGGTACAAAGTGTTGGAGCATTTTCACATATATATCGTTTCTGTGAGATTGTCAGAATATGATCACCACATATACATTTAGACAAGTTTGCTCTGGAGCAAAGACACAAAGGTGTGTGCGCGTGTGTGTGTGTGTGTGTGTGTGCGTGTGTGTGTGTGTGTGTGTGTGTGTGTGTGTGTGTGTGTGTGTGTGTGAATTCAATAGTGTCTGAGTACAAAAAAAGGAGCATCTAATTGAGAAAGATACAAACTTTACTGCACCAGATGCAGACCACAATCACTTCAGTAAACTGTGCGAAATGACCTTTATACTGACTCAGAATAACGTCTAACAGTAGAGCTTTTATTGCTGGGCTGATATCTTCGTTTCACACTGACAGAGTGGAGTGAATATATTTTCAGACTATATGGGTCAAGATGAGAGCCCTGCTGTAACCTCCAGTTCAAGTCAGCAAGGCTGTTTGACTCCCAGAGAGAGAGAGAGAGAGAGAGAGAGAGAGAGAGAGAGAGAGAGAGAAATGCACAGAAGCTAAACGACATCAAGAACTGTGCGGCTGTAAAGAAATATAATGAAATTGGTGCAGATAAAGTCAGGAAGAGCAGAGCTTCCTATGAAAATATTTATCATTCCACAAACGTTTGGCTACAGAGGGGTTTGGAATTAATTTGTGTTTTCTTAAGAGGGGGTGCCTTGCGCTACAGGATGGGGAATTCTCCACAGCCCGGGACTTTTTGGGCTGCTGCTTATTCACAATTTATTAGAGCTAGTAATAAGAACCATGAAGCCTGAGGAGAGAGGGAGAGAGAGAGAGAGAGAGAGAGAGAGAGAGAGAGAGAGAGAGAGAGAAGGTCCTGGGCCAGCCGAGGAGAGGGAGTCCAGAAAATGGGGCCTAATGTTATTAGGAGACGAACCACAGTGTTAAATCAAACACACCCGAGCACACACCTTTGGTATGTGGTCTAGCACCCCCCCCCCCCCATCAGACCCCGGGATGTTATTTGTGAGGGTTAAAATACAGGAATATAAGGAGATTTAGTGAGATTTACAGCCCGTCAGCTAACAGATAATTGACACTGACAAGGGCAGACATATGTCCAGTTGATTTTATAAAATTCAGAAATGAGTGTGACATTTCTGAGAGCTGGTATATTGGAAACACATTTCTCTGAAGTTAAACTTTGCTTGCCCTGCAACAACGATGATAAGCTACATTTGAAGAAAGCTCAAGTGAAGACCATCTATGAAAATTCAAAACCAAAACGTTTATAATTTCATATGATGTAAATTTGAATTAAAGTAAAAAAATAAGTAAAAAAAATTCTATTGATCTCCCATAATGTATTTCAAAATTAAATTACAATTTTAAATATAATGAAAAACATTAAACCCTATTCTAAGAATTACAAGAAAATGTCATCTCAGATTTCTTTGCTTGACATCTATTTATTTACATTTTTAAAAAAACAAACAAAAAAAAACAGTGGGCCCCATCTGTGCTCCTCTGACTGTGCAGCTGATAGAAATGTTTCAAGGTGATTTAAACGGTTGGCAAAACACAGTGGGTGAGTTTCAAGTCTGGAGCCATGAAGGGGTCCTTGAAAAATATGAATACCAGCCTTTGAAAAATGCTTAGTGAGGCTCCCCTAATTTAGTTAATGAGGGTCCCTCTGAATAGCTGCTGAGCTGAGGGGGTGTCAGTGATTTGGGTGTAATCTTCTGTACTTAAGCCAAGCCAAAAGTGTTGCACGGATTCAACCAGCACCAAGAAAAACAAAGGAGCTCAATCAAAAGAGAAGGTGCCTCACACACTTTTCCCCTCACACACATCTTTTCACACACCTCACTGAGACATGAACAACTGGTTTGAAGATGGAGGATTGGGGGGGGGGGGGGGGGGGGGGGGGGGGGGGGGTCTCTTCTTATTAATGACTTACAATGAGTCAGAATGGATAACAGAGAGCTGAGCTGAATGGTAAAGTGGAAAATGATGTGCAGACAGAATATGCAATACTGCACTGACAAAACAAACATACAATTCACTTTTACACTGACCAAACTTTTTGTGCATTAGTACAATATAGGTTACATAGAATATACATAAATCCCAAATGTGTTCAACAAGCGTTTGGTGTTTGTGTCAGGCCTTTGAGCTGAATCAAAGATTACTGTAATAACTTCATAGTAAATTTGTTCCCTTTTATTTTGTCATATACTCTCACACTATATCAAAACAAACATTTTTAAATATTATGCTACATTATTATATTATATTAATACTAGCATAAGTGCAAAATGAAATGGAGAAAAGTGGAGAAATAAATTGGAACTGTAGAAATAAAATTTTCAGTCTTATGCTTATTCTATTATGAACTGATCATTATTATAAAGTCATCATGATCGTATCTCCATGAGGGGCTGGTTAAGAGGCCATCACTCCGATCTTAATATGAGGACAGAAATGTTTCGCAGAAGGAAGGATGCACTTTGCAGGCTATTTAATTCCGTTTAATGGACACGATCAAAATTTAGAATTAAGGGATAAGAAAGAGTAAAAGATGGAGAGAAAAACGATGTCACACTTACCATTATCCAGACAGAGGAATATGCAGAAAAAAAAAAATCCGATTATCAATCAGAGCAGTTTTGTCTCCATGCCCCGAAGAAACTCCGCAGACTTTTCACAAGTGTCCCGCAAACCAGTGACAAAGTGATTTTGACTCGCAGCTCCTGAGAGGAAGAAGAAGGAGGAAGCAGGGAGGAGAAAGAGTAGAAGAAGAGGAAGGAGAGGAAGAAGACGCATAGGAGTCTTTGGTCGAGAGGCTCCAGGTGCTGACAGCTGACAGCTTTCAGCAGACACTCGCTCGCATCGATCTCACTTCTCTCCCTCCGCAGCTTCAGAGGAGCGTTTGCTTTCCGGGCGGTGGGGAAGTGATGTTAACTAAACGAGCGAAGACTTTTTTCTTTTTTTTTTTTTTTTTTTTTTTTTTTTTTTTTTGGTTCCTCCTTCTCCTCCTCCCGAGGAGTGTGCGCGCTGCAGACAACCTGGTCGTGTGTGAGTGTGTGTGTGTGTTTTTGTTTCTGCGTGCGCTGCGCCCCCCCCCCCAACACACCACACCCCCCTTTATCTCAACCACTCCTCTCATTTAGCCTATTGCTTCTGCTGAAGTGCTTCACCTCTCGGCTTCTCCTCTATCTGCGCGTTAAATCTTTGTTTGGTCGAGGGCTCTTCTCCGCGTTTGTTTACACAACGACCCACGAACTATTCAGAGCGACCCTCTGAAGCTGCGGACTCTCTGTCTGCTCTCCAGATACGAGGATTTGTTAGTTTGTGGTAAATAACTCCGGGGTATTGACAGTTTTATAAACAGCGTTTGTTATCTTTGACTGTGTGTAAGTGTGGATGTGTGTGTGTGTGTGTGTGTGTGTGTGTGTGTGTGTGTGCGTGTGTGTTTGTGTGTTTGTGTGTGTGTTTGTGGGGATTAATTATTTCCATTTATCTCACTGCCTTGATATTATTTCTCTATAGGCCAATACTTCTGCTACAGCTGCCATTCTTATTTTATTGTGTAAGCCATAAACAGTGTGGAAGAAATATAGATCCATTGATTAAGTAAAATAAACAAATTACACAAACTTAATCTAGGCTACTGCATTAGCTATTTCTAAAGCTCTGCATTCAATAATATATATATTTAAATAATTACTATATTCATATTTTTAAACATACTTAAATATTATAGGTAAAGGAACTAATTAAAAAAAAAAATCACATTGCTATTACTGCATTAAAGTGTAGCATTTTAGTTTGGTAGCAGCAGCAATGTGACTAATTTAAACCTTTTTATCTGCTGTTGGAGAATTGATCTTTAATCAGTGTCACATCTTAATCTGCAAACTACTTACAGCCCTAATGTAAATATGAAATGAAAAGTACAATTATTCCCTGGAGAAGAAATATAAATGAGCTTAATATGGAAATTCTCAAATGAAGAATAAATACCTTAAAATGTTACCTGTAAGTCTTGATTAAATGTGCTTATTTATTTATTACTTGTAAAGTAAATTAGAAATGTGTGGGGAAAAGAAGGATGTTTCAGAGATGGCTTTAATATGATTACTTCTTGTGGCTTTAAACCATCCCACTCAGGTAAACGACATGATGCCTTTCCCCAACAAAACCTTTCCAGCATAAATGATTAGAAACATCAACCCTGTTTTTACATTCATTCATTTCATATGCATAGAGCATATTATCTGCTCATGTAATGTATATTGGAAATCTTAAGGCTACCAAAACAGGTCATGTGGATACAGTGTTCGAGAGTAGTGAACTACATGTACTGAAACCTGTAGTTTAACTACATTTTGCAGCAGCTTGTTGTAGTTCAATTAGATCCATATGTGCGTTGAAATTCAAGTAGTTAAGTTACTTTTTCCCATTTATTTTTTGTGTGGTTGACTACTGCAACTACAAAACCATAAAAGGAAAGGAATGACTTTTTATTTTGCCCATTGCATCTCTACTGTAATTGAACCCCCCTTTGGCCAGCACTGCCCCCTTTTTCTTTCCTCCTGACCACTGTGAAGGAATACCCAGGCAGCCACCATCACATACGTGACTGTTGTGTACTGCGTGTGCAAAGGCCAAGGGCGGTGGTGTTGCTCAGTGCTCACACAGTGACAGTGTCATCATGGATAAACCTCCTGAATCAAGAATCACCATGTCAATTACGCAGTTATTGTGTGCTGACATTCCTTGCACTTTCCTATGAATATTGGGATTTTTTTTTTTTTTTGGTTTGTGTATGACTGTATAATAGTATTATATTTTGTTAGAATTTCACATCACAGCATGTACATTAATTTGATTTTTACAGAGTAGAACTACTTTTTCCAAGTAGCTTCAGTTAACCAATCAAGATTTATCCCTAGGTTAGCTTTGCTTCTTCCAGTGTGAAGTTACTGGTAGCTTGCAAAGTTATGCTTTCAAAGTAACTTCTTAAACATTGTGTGGATGTATAGTTTTAACAACAGCTGTTGGCCACTTGACAGTTTCAACCATCATATTTTCCCCACATGTAGGAGGCACAATGCAGGTGTCTCATCGTCTGCCTTTCTGTTCGTTTAACATAATGAGAATATGTGTGTGTGTGTGTGTGTGTGTGTGTGTGTGTGTGTGTGTTTGTGCCTGCTTCATTTGTGCCCAACTTTGTGCCATTGTCTCTTTGTGTATTCTGTAATATGAGGAAGAGTGTGTTGGAGTGGGGAGCTGCGGCTCAGGAGGAAACAGGTTCTCCCGAGCGGCGACAACAGGATGCCCTCGCTGACACCATCTCAACACCCGCAGACATGGATATGTGAGGGCACCTGGGGGAGATTCATGCTACTTTACATCTGGGCTAGTGTCGGCATCACTGACCTTTCCAAAATAAAAGAAAAGAACATCCTCCAGGGTGATATGGCTTTCAAAAAACGCAGGATAACAACACGTGTCCTGTGTGAAAAGGTGTTTTTTTTTTCAATGCTGTGTAATAACAAAAGCAAAAAACAGGAGAAAGAGAAATGAAGGAACTAATTTTTTGCTGCCACGTCTGAGTTGATAATCCATAAATGACAAGAAGTTAGAGACATATTAGGAAAGTTGATTGCATAAAATTGTAATATAAACATGGGTGAATGTCTCTTTTGAAGTTAAAGCAAAATTCCACCCTCTTATACTTAAAAAAAAATATTATCCTCTGATGCATTCCAGTTGTTATTTTGTGCTGTCATGTACTACTTCATTTCCTCAATCCTGCTCATCAAGGATGACTTCAGTTAGTAATTTCTCACTTCCAACCAAAGCATAATTTCAAAAATCCCCCAGAGAATGTGCCTGAACCTGTTGCTTTTGGCACTTGTCAGCTGTGAGAGTGATAGAAACAGTGATAAGGAAGAAGGAACATTTTCTTGTTGAGAAAATGATTTATGGCCCACACTCAATGGCTCAACGCAAAGCATGGCTTGTAGCAACAGCGGTGCATTCTGGTTTATTGAGGCCACGGTCAGTGGAGAAACTGGATTCTTTGCCTTGTGTGATGAGTGATGACAATGATGAGTCTGGGGAAGAAGCTCTTGGTCTGAGATACAAAAACTTAACATTGATCACTCTTCTCCGACTTGCATTCTGTATTGGTGATTTACGTTTAATGACTGTGTTAATGCAGGAAGTAGTGAGACAAGGTGTGCAGGTCAGGGAAGGTCATTTTGCTTTTAATGCCATTAGTACAAGATCCAATGCTGTTGATGTTATCCAATAGAGGGTCGCATGTTCAAAAGTACAGTATTTTCATGATCTCACAGTTGTCTACTTTCTCCCCCAAATGTTTCCCCAGAGTGAAACGTGTTTAAATTCAGTATGTCCACTGACTGTGTTGCTCATTTTGCTCTTCTTCTTTGTTGATCATATACGTCACGTCTGTGCAGTCTATGGAAATGCTGGATTTAAAAGTGGGTTTGACCACAGGCAAAGATTTTATCTGTCTAGGCAGACAGAAGACATCTGTTGGGTCACAAAAATACCTTTAAATATACAACTTCCTGCTGGTTAACGGGATAAAAAAATTACATTTTGACTTTTCCCATATGGTTTGTGTAGAGAATGCTGCATGACTTTTAATAGTATTTTCAAAAATGGCTCATTTCATGTCCTGATGTTAAATTCTTTTGTGATTACTGTTCACAAAATTACATTATATTCACAAAATATGTTTCAGAAAATAAATTTCCTGGTATTTTAGATCACACACTGACAAATTTAGGCAAAATTGCAATTAGCATTCAAAATAAACAAGAAATAAGCAATAATATTACATTTTTACATGCTCTCAAGCGCACTGCAGTTATTTTTCAATATCAGAGTAATAAAAATATGCCATAACACCACAAAATGCACTCAGACTTGCAAGCAGCAGCTTCAGTTTGCCTTTTGTTATGCATAAAGAAAGACAGGAATTACTGCTTTAAAAAACTGTTAAAAATAGAGGCCATTGTTTGTGCTTTTAATATTAACAGCCACGACCTCATGAACTCAGTGACATGACTGATGATCATTAGGGTGTTTCATCATTAGTGTTGTCAGTGATACCAGACTCATAGTAATTGATGATGATGATGATGATGATGATATAACAGTGAAGAAACGTAGTCCTATGTTGTTGATTTAAAAAAAAACTACAGACACAAAATCCTTCATTGTGACATCGTAACACCGAGGTACCAAATGACAATGGCTCTGGAAAGTACCGCGACCCAGACAAGATGAACTAGTCTGCCTCTGGTTCAAACAGCAGGCGGGCAGGCAGGCTCCTTTCTTTCACTGGAATGTGTGGTGGAGAAATAAAAGCTGCCATTGTCTCTCTCTTCCTCTGATGACTTCAGTTGGCTGTCTGTCTATCCTCCTGCCAGCTGCCGGTATCCGCTGACACACAGTTACTGTCACAGTGTGTCATCAGCGTTCCTCCAGTCACGAGACGGGAACATGGCGCTTCTGTGTTTTGCTGAAGAACGTTTTACCAACAGAGAAGAAGATGTCAGCTGGGATTTTTAACCAGCAACAAGAACGTAACTGTGCTGATGGAGACGCTCATGTGAAGTTAAACATTTTGTTGTGTGAAACACTGATGTGAACATCACATAAGCATGACTACTCCATGCTGAGGGAAACTGAGAAAATGCAGAAAAGGGAGGGAGAGAGAACATAAAAAAGAGGAGAGATGAATGTAATATAATACTTTGCAGGGCTTAACGCAATGTGAAAGGAAGCGAGAGCCCTATAACCACCACATCTGCGTTTAGATGCCCCCTCTATCCAGCCTGCAAAGCATAAAGTCCATAT